AGGCAATCTCACCCTCAGGTGCCCTGCTTGGTGTGCCAGGGGTGGGCAGAGCTGCAATGTATGCCAGCATGCTCTGAATTTAATGACTGCAGGAAAAATGAACCCTCTGGCTGCTCTCCCACCTCAGCAGTGAGACCCATAAATGGCTGGTGCATTATACCTGAAATTCCATGTGTTGCAAACTGCCTGTGGGGTTTGTGGCAGCTCTGATGGTGCTCCAGGACATGGCCGTGGGACCCAAGTTACCCTCAAACTTCTCCAGACTGAAGGTATTGGAGTGAGCTCAGGGCAAGTGCCTCCCACATGTATAAAAATCTGATGGGTTCAAAGTGGGGGTTGTGGAATTGTCTCCTTCATACCAGCATAGCAGTGCTTGGGGAAGTCCTGCAGAACTGGGAGCACAGGAGACACTCCAGGATGGAAACATTCCTCATCTGTGTTGCTTGGTGTGAGGAGACAGCTTTGGCTCTGGAAGGGACTTGCTGACCTGATATTTCTGAAATGTCACTGGAGGAGCTGTCCAGGACCTGGCAGCCCAGCCCAGGACATGCTGCTGCTCTCCTTACAGGGAGTTGCTGCTGCTGTTGACAGCAGTCAGAGTGGATTCTTCATTGTGGCTGTGGGGCAATGTCTGAAGGAAACACACAGGACAGGGCTGGGTGTGCTGCCAGCTCTGCCCCAGGCAGGAGGGGGGTCCTGGGGGGGTCTCACCTGAGCTGATGGATGCTGGTGATGGGGATGACAGTCTTAAGCTGCACCAAGGGAAATATAGGTTGGATATTAGGAACAAGTTTTTACAGAAAGAGTGATAAAGTTCTGGAATGGCTGCCCAGGGAGCTGGCAGAGTCACCATCCCCGGGTGTGTTTAAGAAAAGCCTGGATGTGGCACTGGGTGCCAGGGTTTAGTTGAAGTGTTGGGGCTGGGTTGGACTCTGTGATCTTGAAGGTCTCTCCCAACCCGGTTATTCTGTGAATTCTGTGAATTCTCTGACATCCCCTCTGCAGGCAGCCACTCCTGGTGCACAGATCACTGCACTGATGGGAGAACCTGGCTGATCCCTGCCCTTGCTGGTGCAGAGCAAAGCACTGAGTGAAGCTGCTGTGACCTTTGGGAGCTCTGTGTGACAGTGCCTGTGGTGCTGTGTGGTCAGGAGTAGCTGAGGGATGTCCCTGCAGGGAGGGGCTCAGGGTGACATCCCTGATGGGGCTGCCAGCCATGAGCACTTGCAGCAGAATCTGCCTGAACCCTTTCAGTGCAAATGCTCATTAGAGTAATTATTCACTGGGATTCTTCTACTGCAGTGGCCTCAGGACAGGGCAGGTGTGTTCTCAGGGACACAAAGGAGAAGCAGCATCATTCCTCTTAACCTGGAACTGCAACAAGCCATAAAGTCACTTCTCTGCAGTCTGTAGCAAATTTGGGAAATGAAGCTGGGTTTGCTGTGGCTCGGGGCCTTTTAGCCTCCCCATCCTTTCTGACAGGAACATTTCTAGTTAGCCAAGAGGATGAACCAGGCAGTAAACTAGATTTACATTTATTTATTTTTCAAACAATGCTTTGGAATACTTTTTTGAGCAGTAAAATGAATTGCACCTGCTCATCTCCCACTCCCACATAAAATACAGAGAGGTTTTCTCCAGGATCATATTCTTTTCAGAGGGGTTTTTTGTACCATTCTCTGCTCAGTGCCAGTCTGGGAAACATATGCAGCCGTTTGATAAATATATTGTGAAAATCATGATAGAAGTGGCAATCTGCCTGCAGCAGAGGAATAGCTACACGGAAAAATGGTAAATAAGATATCTGTAAGTAAATTAATTTTGCTCATATAAGCTTGTTTGCAGCTTTGGTTCGTGTCTGCAGCATTTTCCTCTGCTCTGCAGCAGGTGTTCAGTGTTGTGGAGGATCAGCAGGGACAGCAAAGCTGTGCAGGAGCTGGGAGATGGTGGTGGTAGAATTTCTGTTTTGCTGGCATTTCCCATCACAGCAAGGTATGGTTGTGCCACAGCCTGAAAAACCGCAAATCCACCATTGATTTAGCCTTGTAGAAATTAATAGTTGCATTTTGTATCGAGTTTATGCACAGTGAGGCTGGGCTGCACATAACTGATTTGCTTATTCAGAAATCTTTGCTTTCCAATACAGTTTTGGAGGATTTATCAGTGAAAAGGAATCCTTCAAAACAGCAGAATTTGAAACAAAGCCCAGCTCTACAGATGAACAATTATTTTATTTAAAGTCTTGCTGGATTTTTTAGCCTGCTTTTAGCAGCACTGTGTTATTTGTTTCAGCAGTATGGGTCTGTTTGTTTTGATGGGATGAACTGATTTATGGGATTTATCCTCAGTTTATCTAGTTCAGTTGTCAGATAGCTGAGGATTTATTTTGCAGCCTGTGCTGTAGGTTAGAACTGAGCAACTTTGCTTCAGCTTTTGAGGGAGACACCCTGGGTCTGGGTGCTGAGGAGCTGCTCAGGTGACTGACACAAGCATCACTGTTTGCTGGGCTGCTCTTCCCAGTGCTCCTGGCCTTTTTTCCTGCTGGCTGAGCAGCAGGAGACTCGCAAATGTTCAGTCCAGTTGGGTGGTTTGTGGGCTTTCACACCCATCCACACAGCAACATGGGCAGATTCTTCCTTTCCCTTGCTCCCATAGAGGGGAAAACCTGGCTGCAGGAGGAGGGAAGAAGGTGTAGGAGCTGCAGGCTTCAGTTGCAGATTCATTTTCCTCTTGGTGCTGCCTGGGAGTGAGGTGAGCTGTGACTGTCCAGGGGCTAAAGCTGCATCAAGGAAAGGCCTTGGGTTTGTTTCTCTATGGGCAGAAGAAACAGCTTTCAGCACAGGGTGATCTGGAGCTTTCCTTCTCTCCTTTGGGCAAGCTGGGTTAAATGGTGGAAGCATTTTTGCTCCCTCCTTGCCTTCATTCAGAATGATTTCTGTGATGCTGCAGCCCAGCCTGGCAGGGGCTGATGACAGCAGGGATTGGGCTGGTGCAGAGCAGCCCTGGGAAGCCCTGATCCACAGGCAGGGCTGGGGACTGACTGTGCCTCCCTGGGGCTGAGGAGATGATCTTCTCCTGGAGCCAGGCATGCAGGCATGTCCCACGTGTGTGACTGGGAAATGTGCTGCTCCCAGGCTCTGCAGTGCAGGGAAAGCCTCTGCAGAGGAGCTGGGGTGAATGCAGCCTGGCAGTAGCCCTGACCTGATGCTCCTTGCTCTCCAGACTTCATAAAAGCATTTTTCAGACAGCAAATCCTTGGTGGGCTTCCCACACATCGGTTTTGCAGGGTCACTGCTGCCTTGCAGCCCGGGCAGGGAGGTCTGGCAGAGGGGAGGCTCGTGCTGCTTTGCCCTGGGTTTGTGGGACCATGTGTGTTCTGGACTGAACCCCAAACCCTTCCCTCACTGCTGAGAGCCTCCCCCAGTGCCTGCAGCCTGGCTCCAAAGGGGATTTATGCTTTGGGATTGACGTGTTTAAATATAGTTTTAATAGAAGCTTTTAAAGCTGATCTCACCATTTCATTACTGTTTTGAATGAGTGACACTTCTGTCAATTAGTTTCAGGCAAGCCTGCAGAAAAAGACAGGAGGGGGAAAGGAGGTGAGCAGTGGGATGTGGAGAGGAATATTTTAGATTTGGATATTCCCCTTCTGTGACACCAAGTGCCCAGCTTGTCTCCCTGTGATTGGCACATAACCTAGGGTGAAGCCTCCAGTCAAGATCTTAATCAAGATCTTAATTTTCTCATTGATATAAAAGGTTGTTTGAGCTTGGCTGCCATTGGGGTCTCAAGAGGTCATCCCTGTGCAGAGAGTTCACTGTAGTGTGTTTAACTGAGCATTGCTGGGCAGCTTTGAGCTCAGCTTGGCAAGGGCTGTGCGTGTTCCCAGGCTGATGCTGGATGGGGCTCTTTGGACTCGCTCACCCCCACCCTGTCCTCATGTAAATGAGATGGAGATGCAAGTGTCACCTGGCTTGCATCTATGCACAACCTGCTTTGAATACAGAGAACCACAGCTTGCAATATTTCAGGGTTAAGCCTGCTCTGGAGTTCACTGGCTGCAGGCTAGGATGCTGTGAGTGAAGTCAAGTACTCCTCCACTGTCCCCAGAAGCTGGGCACAGGGATGAAATGATGCAGTGCTGCATCTTCAGAGGTGATTAAGTGTTGACAGCCATGTGCTGCAGAGGATCATTTCCTGCACTGCACTGTGCTGGGAAGACTGAAATCTGTTTTAAATTGAGACTGAAATTAGCATCCAGGAAACAGCGATTTTATGCAGCAGTTTTAGCTTTGTATTGCACTTTTGTGTTCTATAAGTCTTTTCCTGAGGAAAAGCTGATTCCCACCATGCTTTAATCATTAAGTATTGTTGATTTGCAAATCACTATAGCTTTTATATACAGTGGGCGGCAAGATTAACACGTGTTTGCACACAGACTGCAACTGTGTAGGGCCAGGGGCAACCCTGGAACTGGATTTGCTTTTTAATTCTGCTTTTGCTGACCATGTTGCAAATGGCAGTGTGGAAGTCAGCAGGCTTGGCTGTTCTGTGACACTCCCTAAGGCCCTACAGGGCAGCAGAGATACTCCTGGGGAGCCCTAAATGGCTGTGGAGTTGTTGTTATGCCTGTTGGGTTTCAGTACATGCCAGAAGCTCTTGTATCCTCTAAATAAGAATTCAAGAGGTCGAGAGTTTGACCCTTGGCCCTAAGCTGTTGGGATGCTTCTCCCAGTATTGTAAGCTTCTGGCTACAGAAGGAGAAGTTCTCTTTAGCTGTGTCACTTGTTACACATCAGATAAAATCTCATTTTTATCTCTTTCCTGTCTAGCTCAATGCCTGGGTTTGCCTTTTAATCTGAGTGTTTGTACCTCGTTTACAGCCTGACAGTGTTTTGCCTTCACTTTCTTGCATGCTGGAAGAAGCCAGAAATGACTGGTTATGTCTGTGTTGAGTGAACATTTTTATTCAGTTTACCTCTGTTTGTGATTCCTCTCAGGTATTTCATGGAGCCTTTGAGCACTAACATCACTGCTCTCTGTGTGACCATTTGAGAGCAAAGGAGGTGGACGCAGCCATGGGGGACTCTCCGGCAAATGTCATGGATGGAGGCATGGACACACAGACTGAACTGGTGGAGAGGGTGGCAGCCATAGATGTGTCTGTTATTCCAGACAGAAGTGACCAAAATGGGGAAGACAACCCTGAAGAAAATGACACAGTCTTTTCTGATAACATAAAGGACATCCAAAGAAATGGAGTCAGCAGTGACATGGGAATCAATGAATTTCTGCCTTCCCAACAGTCAGAAGATGCTCACTTGAGGCATGCTCCCAAGAGACATCTAACCAGACCTGGTCTATCAAGTAGGAAGTTGTCCCTTCAGGAAAGATCATCAGGAGCTTATTTGGCTTCTAGCAGCACTTCAGGCTGTGGTCCTTATGCCACAGGGCCATCCCCACGCATAATCAGGAGACCAACGATAGAGTCCAATCGGGTCTCCATATCAGACTCTGAGGTAGGCATGTTCTCCCCTACAGCTGAGCTGTTGAGGTAAGGAAAGTCTGTCTCAGGTGCTAATGGGAGCCTTCAGTCTTCTGGAGTATAGATCTGAAAGCACTGTTGTTTCTGAGGGGGGGAAAAATCCCTGGAACCAAGGATGATGTTAGCTTGGAGTTGGAGAGCTCTGCTGGGTGTAGCCCTGGCCCTGACATTTGGCTCCTTTAGCCCTCAGCTGCCTGGGATAGTCTTGCGAAGGGACCACGACCCCTGTGTCATGGTGGCATGCAGGAAGTCTTTCAGGTTGTTCAGAGAAAGGGCTGTGGCCAAATGACTTTTCTCTTGTGTCCCTGCTGGAGGTGCCCTTTGGGAATTCACCACTCACAGCAGCTTTGCTGATGGTATTTATGGATTTAAACTTCTGGAGATTATGTATCTACTATTGTGTTCTGCCATAATTGAAGGCACAATTTAATTTTATAAAGAGCTTAAATGCCTGGCTCCTGTCAGGGTTTTCTTTTCTCTTTAAAGCATTTGTAACAGCAGTGGTAAGGGAAGGCTGTGACCTTGCTCTCCTTCAGAGGGGTGTCTGGGTGGCTGTGGTTGTTCTGCAGCTGCGCTCCTGATCCCAAACCTGCCCTGACATGCTGTCAGTGGTCAAGTGTCTGGATGGAAGTGGGTGATGGTTGCAATTCCCAGTGCTGGATGTGCTGCAGTGGGGAGGGCAGGGAGCAGAGGGTGTTCAGAGCACACTGCCCACTGTCGTGACCTAGATGCCTGCAGCAGCACAAGGACCCAAACCACTGGAGCTGAGACTTCTGCCAATGTGGGTCGAAGGAACCTGGAGCTAAACATGTGTGTGGCTTGGTGTTTCCCTTCTGAGAAGTGGGTGCTTTCCCTTTGCACATCTGAGAGGATGGTGGTGCACACCAAATCAGCCTTTGTCCTCTGGGGCATTGTGCAAGCCACATCAGCTGTGGGATGAGTGGTGCATCCCCTGCAGACAAGAGGACACATGCAGAAGGTGCACTGCAGAGACTGCAGCTTCTTTGACAGCAGCCATATGCTTTAATAAGGGAGGCAGGGAGGGAAAGGAGCCAGTTCTTGGAAGCAGGACGTGACTTGTGTGCCAGCTCTCCCATCCTGCAGTGCTGCGGCTGTGCCAGGAGTGAGGCTTTTCTGAAATCTTTCAGCATAACTGCAGTCAAGTGTGACTGGCACATTCCCATCTGCAAGCAAATTCAGAGTACTCCATCCTCTTCCACAGCATCTGCATCCTGGGGAGCAGGGGCTGCTGCCTGCGGGTGGGCAGTGCTTAGTTTGAAATGCAGATGTGGAGCCCCTGTGCCCCTGCTCCTGCAGCAGCTCTTGACACAGTGCTGCCTTTTCCATGGTCACTTGGATATCACTGAGAGAGCACTGCTGTGCTGCAGCCTGTTGGAAGCCATCATTCATATTAATGGGGAATGGCTGTGGGAAGGGAGCCTGAGTGAGCTGGGAACATTCTGGGGTGGGTGCTTGCCCTCACAGAGGTACCCTCAGGAGCTGTGCTGCTCCTTCCCACCTTATAGGGATAGCATCTGTACCCCATAAGGAACAGGACTGGGAAAATGCCTGCTTGGATACAGGGTAAACTGTGAGGCTGGGCACTGAATGGTGAGCAGTGTGTGACAGCCATGTGAGTGTGCAGCTTGCACACAGCCCAAGCTCCAGTGCCCAGTGTCACCACTGCTGCCAGGTGGCTGTTGAAGGGTTGTTGTGTTGGTGACTGTGAGAGGCACTGCCAGTCCAGATCCCAGCTGTGCAGCTGAGAGACACAGCAGGGAGCTTAGACAGAACCAGAGAGCACGTCTTCTGTGCTCTGTCAGCGATTCTAAAAGTCACCAGGGTCTTCATATTGAGGCTTTTGGTCCTGTTGGGGATGAAATCAGCCCGTAATGGGAAATACAATCATGGTGCACTTGGCAGCACCCAGCTGCTGGGTGTCTGGTTGTCACTCTGATATGCAGACCCTCAGTGAGCAGCAAGGCTGGTGGGTCACTGACAAAAACCAGGTCACCAGGCCCAGCACTGCCCTGACCTGCCTGCACATGGCTCCTTGTTCTAGGCAAGCTGCACATTTATATTCCAGTCAGTGTCTCTCACCTGCTTAAAGCCATTTGGGAGTTGGTTCTTTGCCCTTGATTTGGGTGTCTGGCATCCTCAGTCAGTGCCTTTCAGGAGCAGAACATCCATTGCTCCAGCTCATGGCCAGTGCCCAGGTCTGTTAGAGTCTGTGCAAAGCTGAAGTTCAGGAGCACTCAGGCTTTATCAGTACCCAGGTGCAGGCACTGTCTGTCAGGAGCAGGGATGGGTGGCACAGCTGCATGTCACAATTTCCTGTTGTGCTGATAGCCATCTCCCCTGAGTCTGCTTCCCTCTCCAGCAGGATGGCAGCTCAGTGCCTGCCTGTCAATGATGCTGTATCCTGGACTGATCTGGAGAAATAATGGAGAGATGTGCTATGCAGAGAGAGTGTGGGGATACAGCAGAGCTGAATGCTCTGCCTTCACTGATGAATTACGGAAGAACGTTGTGTTCTCTTAGAGAGATACTGCTGTGCTTTTAAATGCTGGTTTAATATTTGTTCACAGGCTGGGAGGAAAACTTCTGCTCAGGGATCAAGAGGTACAAGAGCTGAAGCTGAGGGAGGATTTATCAAGTGGCAGCAGCAGGCAGTGAATTGGGGCTGTCCTGTCACTGAGACCATTCCACAGACAGCTGCCTTCTGAGCACAGCTTTTGGATTTGCTGTTTAGGCAGGTGGTAGCTCCTGGGCTGGCAGGGCTGGGGCTTGTTGTCTTGCACAAAGACTATTCCCAGAGACACCAATTATCCAAGTGCCCTTGGACAAAGAGTTGGCAGCTGCTGGTGTCCTGCAGCCACTGCTGACAAGTCTGGGTCTGCAGTTTAGCTCTGCGAGGGAAGTAACATGTTCTGCTCTCCCAACAGTGCTACTGTGTTCTTAATTAACCTGATCTGTCATTTCTCTATCAAAAATTGAGCTGTAGTTTTAAAAGCTCCCTGTTTGCTCCCCTCCTTTCCTACATTATGGCCTATGGCCTGGAAGGTTCTCTCAGAGCTGCCTTCCCTGGCAGGAGTGCCTGATGGGGTTTCTGCTGCCTTGCTGCCTATCAGTGCTTTGCTGTGACAAGGGAAAGGCTTTGCCTTTAGCTGTGGCACAGAAGTGATTAAGTTGAAGCTATTAAGGGTACATAAAGCAGAGCTGAGGCACAGGCCCCAGAGTTTAGGCCCACTTTGCCTCTGTTGATGTGACATTCCTGGCTCCTGCTCAGTGCTGGCAGCAAGGCAAGTCCAGAGACTGCTAAAAGCAGCTTCTGATTTGCTGCCCAGATGATGCCTCGGTGTTTGTATGTACCAGGGAAAGACTTTCTGAAATCTTGTCCCTGTGTGCCTAACAGAGCTTGTCCCATCTATAACAGCAGGTTTTGGATCTGTGAAAGGGGAGAGGTGCTGTGTGTTGGAATGAGGCATTTGAAAGTGCAGTGCCGGTGGGTTTGGTTTGTTGGGGTTTTTTTTCCTGCTGTTTTAAAGCAACTTTTTAGTTAGCCAAGAAAATCTTACTTGATGAGTGGCTAGGAGAAGAATAAAATATGTCTTTTTTTCAGCCTTTCTCCCCGGACCTGCCAGCACATTTAATTGCTTTATACAGTCTCTTCTCCAGTCTCTTCCAGTTGAATTTCCTTTCCCTTTCACATGTTTTCTTCCTCTCCCTGAATCCCATATCCTCCTGCCTTGCTGTCTATATTCTCTCCACCCTCTGGGATCAGTAGGAGACTGTTCCAGGTGTCCCTGCAGCCATGGTAATCAGCTGCAGCTGTGTGTGCTCCAGCAGGAGAGGAGAGGATGAGTCAGGCCAGTGCCTTCTTCCTCCCTGGAGATGCTCCTGGCCTGCAGATGCAGGGAGGAGAACGAGCTGACAAAGGGAATTTTCCTATGCTGGATTGTGCATGGCTTTCTCCAGAGGCCTGGAAAATAAATCACTTCTTTGTCCTTTCTTTCCTTATTTTTTCTCCTCTTTCTCATAGCTCCCTGCTTGTTTGGCCAACTGGTTTGGAGCAGCTGGTGCCAAAAGCTGAGAGGCAGTGCCTTGGTGCTCGGCTGACCCAGGTCTCACACTCCTCCAGGGCCTGGCACCTGCCTGGTTTTCTTCACAAAGTGATTTCCTTGCTGTGCACAAAGGTGAACTCAGGTGGGGCCAGGGCAGAGGCAGGAGCTGAGCTCCTCCCCAGCATGGGCTGAGAGCTTCCCCTTGCAGCCCAAGTCCCCCAGAGGAATTTATTTCTTCTAGAGGCCTTACTGTGGTGTTCAAACCAGAACTCTTGAAAAGATTAAAGATACTTGGAAAACATTTCTTCAAAGACTCCCTCATGTGGCTAATTTCTTTTCCTTGGATTAATTAACCTTTATTTAAAGTTGCATTTCCAACTTGTCTGCGGGTAAGGTTTGAGAGGAGGACAAAGCCCAGGGCTGCAGCTGGAGGGGGGCTGGGAGGGGCTGGGGTCTGCCTTGGTCCCACGAGTCCCAGGCTCCTGCACCAGCCCTGGGGCCTCAGGGGGGTGAGCCCCAGGGCTGAGCTCTCTGCCAGCCATGGCCAGGGCAGGGCAGCAAGGCTGGGCTTTCTTTTTGCACTTCTGTTTGGCCGTTGTTTCAAAATCTGTTTATTTTCTGATCACCATGAGGTCTGGGCTTCCTGTCTATCCTTCTCTGTCCCTAAACAACTTTCTAATTTGAATTCATTGCTGCCCTTAATACCCAGTTTCTGGCTTTTATTTTCATTTTTGCCTGTTTTCAGAACTGCCTTCACTTCCCCTTCTAGGCAGGATGAGTTTAAACCAGTGTTTCATTTTTCTTCCATGCCTCTCTTTAAAGGGTATCTCTGAATTGCTGAAAATTCTTTCAGAATGGGGAATGTGGCTTTCTTTAGGGGACAAAATTCTCCATTATATATGTATTCTCCATTACATGTATGTAGGCTGTCTGTTCTCAGAAATGTCTGATTTTGGAAATCAGCTCTGATTCTCCCTTCCCATCCATGCACCTCTCCTGGGACCGCAAAGCTCAATTCTCAGGTTCTCAAGGTTTCTGTCACCCAGTGGTGCCCACAGTGGATTTCTGGAACTGGGCCTGGACTGTGCTTTATGATTTTTGACCAATTTTTGTTTTCTGTGGCATTGATTTCCCTCCCTTCCTCTCTTGACTAATACCTTGGACTTGTTAACACAGAGGGCATCTTGTTTTTTTTTTAACGTGAAACAATAATTGCACACTTGGACTGGCTCAGTCTAATTTGGTGACAGCTTTTCACGAAAGGATCTCATTAAAGTTCTGCTCTATTTGTATTTATCAGCAGTTGCAAATACATCAGCCTGATGAAATCAAGGGAATTGTACAATGTTATCTTAAAGAAACACTTGGCCAGAGATAGGTGTTTTTCTCTGATAAAGGAATAGGACAATTATCCCACTTCCTGCAGGAGAACCCAATAACAGAATAACCCTTCCAGAACGCAGCAACACGTGGCAGGAGTCACTTCAGTAGTGAATTATGGTCTTTTCAGCAAGAGGGAAAAAACATAGAAAGCACCTATAATCTGTGCTCAGCTCAAGTGCTGGAAGCACTGCAGAAGTCAAAGGGATGGTGCTTCCCACCAGGAATTACCTGAGTGGAGAGCACTGGGGGTGGGGGTCAGGTGGTGACAGTGAGTGGGAACTCTGGGGGGCTGTGCTGCACATCTGGTCATTGCTTTTCCCTTGGAATTTTCTGGGTGTTCCTTCCCAGTGTTTATCCACCCCTTTCAAAAACTGTCCCCAAAGCATGGGGGCTCTGGTGTCACAAGCTCCACCTAGCAGCAGTGAAGCACCAGGGGGGTGCTTCAGGTGATCAGTCTGGTGGGGATAAGAATGGTGATTTCTGGCCAGAGGTAGGAGGGGTGGTGGAAGGTCAGAGTCAAAGGGTTGGTGGCTTGGACACAGGGATAAGGCACAGTCCCTGCTCCTGCTTTGTGGGGAGGTTTACCTGGATGGATGGATGGATGGATTATGGATGGATGGATGATGGAGGGAGGGATGGATGGATGATGGATGGATGGATGATGGAGGGACGGATGGAGGGATGGAGGGATGGATGGATGGATGATGGAGGGACGGATGGAGGGATGGAGGGATGGATGGATGGATGATGGAGGGACGGATGGAGGGATGGAGGGATGGATGGATGGATGATGGAGGGACGGATGGAGGGATGGAGGGATGGATGGATGGATGATGGAGGGACGGATGGAGGGATGGAGGGATGGATGGATGGATGATGGAGGGACGGATGGAGGGATGGAGGGATGGATGGATGGATGGATGGATGTACAGACTGCATCCCGCACAAAGGGCTCTGCTCCTTCTGGAGGGAGGGAAAAGATGCCCCTATGGTTTCCTTGGCAGTCTGTGAGCAAGAAGAAGCAGCTGTTGGTGCTTTAGAGATGCCACCTTGGCTTGAAACAAGATGCTGAGTGCAGAGCCAAGAGCTGATGGCTGTGTGTGAAAGGCTCTATTGTATCTACTCCTGCAAGTGATCCCTGCTCAGGGAGGAGGCCTCCTAGCAAGACCTGGTTTGAGAGCAGGAGATGTGAGGTGACTGGAGGCTTTCTTGGAGGAATGGTCATTTTTCCTGCCTGTCCCAGCTGCTCCAGTGGATGTTTCACCCTCTGCAGCACTGCAGTTTTCACAGGACCAGGCCAGGGATACAAAGCTGAGCACAGAGAAACCAGGACAGGAGACACCATCAGAAAAGTGTTCCTGCTGAATCTGTGAAATCACCACAGCCTCACACTGGGAAGTGAATCTGCTGGCACAGTGTTTGCAGGGGAATTTGTCCTCCTCATGTCCATACCCTGGGTTCCTGCATGCTGCCCCCTCCTTTGGGGAGGGACATCCTTTCAGGCCCCTCATGCCTTGCATCTTGGCTTCTGCTGGGTCATGCTTTCTCCTCTCTTGGTGCTCCTAGTTCTGATGGATTGGTTTTTACCTTTGGAAAGATGTGTGCTTTGCTAGCAGCAGAGTTAATACACTCCTGTGGCCCCATTACTCACAGATGGCTGCTCTTCCTTGTCAGGGAGGTGGAAAAAACTTCTTTCCCTGGCAACAAGATCAAGATTTAAACTATTCCTTGTATTCCTGACAAGCCATGAGGAAAAAAAGTTATCAGTCCCCCATTTCTTTTATTGTGATGATCTCTTGAGTCAGGAGCATTAGGAATGTTTTCTGGTTGGTGATGAAGAGTCAAAATTATCATCTCCCACTCCTGTGGTGGTCCTGAGAGGCAGAGGAGTGTTGCTGTTGGTGGCAATGCTGCCGGGGCAGGGACTCTCACACCCCTGTTCTTACAAATGGCCTGAAGGCATCTGGCACTGCTTTTATGTGGTGGTGCTACTTCTCTAGATGGCAGGGCTGTTTTGAGGTTTATGGGAAGGCTAATGTACCTGTCTGCATGTTTTATTTCAGCTTTGTTCCCAAAGAAGTGTAGAGGCTGGCTGTGAATTTCCAGCCTGCTTTAGTGCTTGGCAGTTTTGGGGAGAAATGTTCAAAAATGCTGCCTTGGGAAGTGCACCCCATCTGGGGCTCAGCCCACACCATGTCTGAGGTTGGAAACTCCTCCTTTTCCTCACCCCTCCAAGGTGGGGGCTCTTCCCTGCCCTGCAGTGCAGCTCAGTGCTGTGTTCAGAGAGGACAAGGCAAACTCCACTGCAGCCACTGTGCCTGGTGCCAGCACTGCAGAGGTGCCAGTGCTGCAGAGGTGCCAGCAGGAGCTCCCAGCTCTGCCCAGAGCTCGGCTCTGCAGCAAGTGTGCAGCTTCAAGGGAAGGGTGCTTTCAGCACCAGCTCTGCAGCAAGTGTGCAGCTCCAAGGGAAGGGCGCCTTCCACACCAGCTGGCTGCATGGATCTTCTGTTCCACCTTGTTCTCCCCCTTTGCCACCCCTGGTCTGGAGGAGCTCAGCACCCATCTCCACATCCTCACCCTGTGGGGTTTCAGGGCTGGGTTCCTCACCAGCAGAGATCAGAGCTGCTCTGGGGTGATTATTTCAGCAAATACCATGGCAGTACCATTGTCTGTGTGGCACAGCAGAGGGGCTGGGCTCTGTGTGCTCTCCTGGAGGAGCAGCCCAGGATGCAGGTGAGGGTTCCTCTGGTGCAGGCACTGCCAGGCTGGCTCTGTGTCTGCCAGGCTGATGCTGGGAGGGCACAGGCTCATGCTGTGACCCTGGGGTGGGTGCTGGGGCTGCCAGGCTGTGAAAGCCCAGGGAAGCTGGGACAGGGATTTTCCTGCCTGGCACTGAGCACAGCGCAGTAGAGAGGGTTAAAGTAAACAGGCCAGGGGCTGCTGGGCTGAACCTAGGGCAGTGTTGGGGAACTGGGGTGGTTTTACACCAGCACAATCAGAATCAGGAGTCAGCCCATAATTGTTTTGTCTTGGGTTGTCCAAAAAAAAAAAAAAGTAAAAAAAAAGCAAAAAAAGCAGTGCTTATAGTGTAACATATACCAGTGTAAGTGAGATTAAGTCTTTAATTATTTAGCACTCTGCCACTACTTGAACCTGATTCAAACTCAGTCATTTCCTTTACCAATACTCTAATTATGTTCTCCTTTTGATCTGCAGGACTGTGTGCAATTAAACCAGTACAAGCTGCAGAGTGAAATAGGCAAGGTGAGTACTGGGGCTGATCTTGGTCACACCAGCCTGTGTCACACATCTGAGTAGGGCTGGAAGGCTGTGCCAGCCCAAGGGACATCAGTGGCCAAGGCTCCTTGCAAGTAGTGTTTGATTTGGGGGCTTTTTTGATTATTTTTGAGAGGATTTTTCCATATTAGTTTGAGCAAGTTTTGTTCAAGGTCACAGTGGAGTTACTTCCTTTGAAATCCAGATTTATTTTTCCTCCCTCAGAAGGTGGTTAAGCTGGCTCCCTTTCAGGGGTGTTTGCTTGCCAAATGTAACACTAAGAACCTTTGATGCATTAATGCGACACAACAAGGAAAAAAACTCAAAAAAGATGATCAGGGCAGGTGTTTGGTCCCCATCAGGACTAGTTAAAGTTTTTACGTCACATGAAATGTTTGTTTAATTCTAGTCCATGTTTAAAAGCTGCAGAATGATTCAAAAGAGATTCCTGTAAAGTTATTTAGAGGTCTGGGCTGGTGAGCAGCTCAGACACCTGCCCCTCTGGCCATGTGCCACCACTGCAGATGGCTCCACAAGCAGTGGGGCTGTCTGGGAGCTGTGTCTGCCTCTGCAGCTGGAGCACTGCCGTCACAGGAGGCTGCAGACACCTTCACCACAAGTTTAATTAGCCCAAATGCCTCCAAAATTAGAGGCCTCGGGCTGTGGGATGGCACCCCCACCATCTGTGCCATGGGCTGTGCATTTGGCTGCTGGCAGGGGGGAGGAAGGCTGCAGGTACCACTGCACAGCAGGTGCCCTCCCAAAATCCCACACAGCTTCAGACCCACTTAGGACTTCTGTATGATTTAAGGAGAGTGTGAAACCTTCTCTCAGGTGGATTTGTCCCTGCCTCCCTCCTTCCCTGTGGGTCACAGCAAGCAGGTGGGCACTCTGAGGTTGGTAGAGGGTCTGCTGTGCTTTTGGATCAGCCAGATGGCTTGTGAGTCTCCTCTGAGACCAGAACCTTATTTCAACTCTCAGTGAAGTCAAGAGAAATATTTTGAAGGCTCTGGTGTTCATTCCACTCTTTTATTCAATAGGCATATGTCAGGGATAATACCTGATCATGTCTTTCTTGCATAAAATGAGTGTTTATTGGGACTTTGATAAAACAGCAGTTTGGATGGAGCTTGGCTTCAGGCTGTCCCTGGAGCTGTGGGTCCAGCAGCAGTCCAGGTCTGCCCCTGCCTGGGCAGCATGTGGTTGGTGGAACAGGAAAGCTGTTCATGCACAGTTTCCAAATTTGCACCAAGAAAGTTTTTCTCTCTGCTGCCCACCCCTGTGTGAGTTCAGACAGACGTGGTGGCTGTGGCTCAGGGCAGGGGTGGTGGGCCAGCACTCAACTCCTCCAAACATGGATAATCCTCCAGTGGCTCCAGCAGAGCTGCCAAAACATTCAGCCCTGCTGTAGGGTCACACCACCTGTGGACTGCTCAGGGGTCAGCATGGCCTGGGGCCTTGGGAGTTGTTTTTTTCCCATCTGTGATCCACCAGCCTCGAGCAGCAAGAGGATGAGGTGGAGCTGCTGGACTGACCCTGCAATTCCCATTTGTTTTCAGGGCTCCTACGGCGTGGTGAAGCTGGCCTACAACGAGAACGATGACAAGTACTACGTGAGTGTGCCTCTGCTCTGCTCCTCCCTGCTGCTGCTGCCCCCCTGGCAGCTGGCTGCTCTCCACCTGGCTGCTTTCAGCAGGTGCCCCTGTGATTTGGGTGGCTGGCAGGAGCTGAGCTCCCGCTGGGCACGCAGCGCGGGAGGGAGCGGCTGGGTGCCTTATGTAACAGGCAGGCTGCAGAACATGCTGCTGAGCTGCCTTGGCATTTTCTAGCTGTGAAGCAGGTCACCTGAAATTAGAGGCATGTGGGTGGTGGTATTCAGCACCTGCTGTGCATTGGAAGCCTGGCCTGGAAGGAGCAGGAGTGTTTTGTAAGGAAATGGGGGCGTTTCTCAGAAAAAGGCTGAGCAGTGTTGGTGTGGCTGGGCAGTGCCAGGCTCCCTGCATCTCACCCCCCTGGGGGACACTGAACCAGGCCCACTGCCAGGGCACGAGGTGTAGGGTGCAAGACTGAAGGCAAATCCTGGGGTTTAACAAAGCCAGAGTTGGAGAGTTTCATATTCCAAAAGGCTGCTTATGCTGGAGGCTCCTGCTCTGGGCTTCCCCTTTCAGATGGAGCTGAATCCCAACCATCCCAGCTGGAATTCCTGTGAAATCTGCCTGCAGATGTACTCATGTTCCTGGGCCTGTGCCTTGTGCCCACAGCTTTTTGCCCTGTGGCTTGTTTTGTTCAGGCTGAGAGTGGGAGCTGGAAGGAAGGAAAACTTCCTTGCTATGTGTGGCTGTGCCTGGAGGCTTCTGGAAAGACCTTCCAGCAGTTTCTGATGGATCCCAGGGCAGGAATCTGCTGAGCTGTGTGCTTGCAGTGCTGTTGAACCTCAACCCAACACAGCCCTGCTGCTCCACAGTGCATTTGGTGAGAGTGTGCCGCTGTTGCTCCTGCATGTGGATGAGATTGGGTCCCTCAGAGCAGCCAGGCAGGCTGGTGTGCTGCCCTGGGACAAAGGGGAATAAGGATGTGCTGTGGAACATAAAGCATGCTCATTCCCCACTGCTCTCCAGATAGTTTTTCCTCCCTGACTCTTTATTACAAGTGACACACCAGGCTGAAGTGGTCAGGTGGGAATTGTGTGCCTGTGGGTATTCCTTAGCCTTTCTGGGCTTCCAGCAGGCATGGAACTGCAGCAGGAATGTCTTGAAATGAAGGATGGAAGAGATGAGACAAAAATCTGGACAAGGTGCCCTGGAGCTGGCCAAGGAAAGGAGCCACAATTCTTTCCATCTCCCATCCTTTCCAAGCTGATTCACAGCTGCACCAGAGCTTTTTCCAGAGGCTCCTTTTCTCTGCTGCCCTCCAAATCCTCCCTGCCATGCCCTGCAGCAGGATGGTTTGTTCTGCAGAGGGTGGTGGTGCCAGCCCTGGCTTCCCTGATCCATCTGTCCCACCAGCACAGGCATGCCAGCACCAGCAGCACAGAGTGGGAATGCATCACATCCATAAATCGTGGTTATTTCCAGCTGAAAATACTTTTCCTTTGAAAATTGTAATCCTTACATTTTGGCACTGCCTTTTTGTTCAGGAAATGCCATTGAGGTGCTCAGTGGTGGGCATGGCATGTTACAGCTCAGCAGGGGAGAGCTGGGTTTAGGACAGCACTGCCTGCTGCATTCCTGTCCCTGCTTTGGATGCAGATTAACCCCATGGATGTAGATTTAGCTGGTCACATCAAAACCAAAAGTGAAAGCCTGTGTGCCGGTTAGCCTGGTGTGTGTTAGTTAATCCCCTCTTAATCTTGGTTTCTAATCTAAGCAAACACTTTAAAGGTGCTGCAGCCCGGGAGGGGCACCGTGCCTGGGGCTGTGTGAGCCTCACCTGAGGGCAGGCAGGGCACAAAGACCCCTCAGTGCCAGCCCTGCAGGGACGTGCTCTTTGCTTCACCCCATCCTCCTTCTGGGGCTGAGCTGCATCCTGGGCTGGGAAGGTGATGCTGGGAGGAGAGGGATGGGCCTCTCTGAACTCTGTGTCCCCTCTTGGCAGGGCAGGGGGAGCTGTCCCCTTGCCCAGTGCAGCCACATGCCTGGCACCCTCATCCTCCCAGCCCCCTGTGCTTGTGTTTTCTGGAGGGCAAGCCGTGGTGGAGACACCTCTGCTTTTCCAGGACATTAAGCCAGCTCAGGAGCTGGCAGACTTTTCAAAGCTTCAGAGAAGCAGCTGATTGCATAACTGGCTAATGGTTGCTTAGCTCTCCACCTGCCTAGTGTGCCTGACCCTGGAGCTCTCCCAGAGCTGAGGCAGCTTCCATCCTGCCCTGCCTGTCCATCCCATCCCTGTCCCTCAGCAGTGCACCCCGGGGGCACCTAATGACTCCTACCAGCAGTTAAGAGAAGCTATTAAGATTGTAATAGTTGGGAATGGCCTTTTCTGTGTGTTTGTTTTCCCCCAGATTTAGCTCTGGAGGGTGTTTTTGGCTCAGTGGTGAAAAGCAGAAAGAAGTAATGGGAGGAAATCAGCCCTTGGTTGGCCTGCAGTGAGTAAGGCCAGGTTGGATGGGCTTCTGGTCTAGTGGAAGGTCTCCTTGCCCATGGCAGGGAGATGGAACTGATGATCTGTAAGGTCCCTTCCAACCCAAATCATTCTATGATATTCTGCTTCTGTAACTGAATTTCATTTGCAGTGGTTCAGCATGAGGCCAGGGTGTTGCTGCCTTCTTTATTGTCTTTAAGCTAGTGTGCTGCAATAACAAGGACCAAAATTGCTAAAAAATAAGAAAAAAATTATTTAGGGGTATAATTCAGAATGTGGCTCCTGATTCTTGCTGAGGTGTGGGACCCTTTGCTAGCTCCCTTCAAAAAGGCAGAGTTTATAGGCAGCAAGGACTCAATAGAGCTCCTGTCAAAGCCAAAGGAAAGATTTCTGCTGCTTTAATGAGTTTTGGATCTGGCCTAGAATTAGGAAAAACTCTCAAGAAAAAAATTCAACCACCACATTTGGGAAAAGATGTAGATGGGTTGTGTTTATTTTGTGGGTTTTTTACCTTCCATTAAAGATGAGGGAGTGCTTCTAAGAGCTTTGCCCTTGGTTACTGTGAGCACCACAGTGCCTGGGAGGGCTGTGAAGTGTCCTGGCTCACATCACTGGATGCAGGGAATGTGTTAGGCCATGGAAACTGGATTTTCTGCACCAGGTATGTGAGCCAGTGCTCCCTCCAGGGAGGAGACCCCACTGGAAAGCAGAGCTGGCTGCCAGAGCAGAGGACCCTGCTGCTCCTGGGGCACATTTAGCTGTCACAGCTGTGGGGCTCTGCCAAGGAACCCTTTACACTGGAAAGGTTTCAGTGTCTCAGTTTGAAGGAGATGCTTTGATGATGACTAAAGGAAAAATCAAAGGCCAAGTTCTGTGAAAAAGCAGCAAATAAAAAGCAAAGGCAAATGTGTCCAAGCAGAGATCTAGATTGGAATCACTGTGCTGATGGAATTTGATTCTTTGATGCCTCAGGTCATGTCTTCCTCCTATTTTCAATCTCTAAATCAGCTTGCAAAGAAAAGTGGCTATGATGGGCATTTGTTATGCTACTGCTGGAATAAGGCAACAGCATTTAGGTTGTCAGTGGATTTTTCTTTTTTTCATCCTTCTTTTTTAATCTTGTTTCCTAAGAAACAAGATTTGTGTGATTGTGCTCTCTGCCTCTGTTTGTACCTAACAATCTTTGCACGGAGGGCTGTTTCCTACCAAGTCTCAGTGATGGGGAGAAATTCCTTCCAGGTTCATGAAAGGAGTGGCTGAACAAAGGGCTGTTGCTGAGAAGGTGGCCAGCAGCAAGCCTTGAACTTTCCAGCCCTGGAGAACCCGCTTTGGATGCCATCCAGGAGGAAAGGGAAGGCACAGCTCCTGCATTTCCCATCCCCTGGCTCACATAACAGCTGCTGAACCACTGCCAGCTGTACTCCAGAGCAGTGGGGAGAAGGGAAGGGATCTCTGGCTTAGTCTGACACCTGGTGCTGTTCAGCTGAGGGCTGTGAGGGGCTGGGTCACCCGGGGTGACAGCAGGATCCTCGGGAGGCAGCTGGGGACAGGCGAGCTCCAGGACAGCATCCCTGCTGTGGTGGCACAGTGTGGATGGGGCACAGCCTGATGATGGAATTCTGCTGGGAGGACAAAAGGTGACAAACACAGGAGCAGGATTTTAAGGCCATGGCAGCTGAGCCTGTCTGGTTTAGGATTTTCTTTCAGTTCATAACACTCCTCTCTGCCAGCAGAGCTTCCCTCTCAGCTGCTTTGTCTGAGGGATGTTGTTGTTAGGCAGGACAGGTGAAGAAGGACTGGAAACACTCTGTGGTCTGTTCAGCATTCCCACAGAGTGCCCTCCTGCACTAGAAGAGGATTTAGGTGGTTGGTAGGGACCTTTGAGCAGCATCCCACTCCCCTGGGAGCTGTAGGATGGCATTGTGCACCGGCTTCTGCCCTTGCAGCACAAGTCTCTCCCTTAGCAAATAAAATGACATTCTGAGCACTGTGAGAGCATCACCAAGGACAGGTGATAAGTTCACTTGGCTCAGTCATTTTGTCACCCTTCCCTCCCAAAACCAATGGCCTCTTTGCCCTTGTCATTACCCACAGCTTGTGGTCCCGCTGCTGTGAAAGCTGCTGTGTAACAGGCATTCCTCCTCTCCATAAGCCTGGGATCTCCTTTCCCTTAGGCAGCTTCCCTGTGGCTTCCAGCTGTAGGGTTGATAGGAAGAGAGCAGTAAACTGAGATAATAAACATACATCAGAGAAAAGCACACAGTTCCTGCTGTTTGTCAAAGGGAGATGTCAAGACCCGTGTCCACGCGGGAGCAGTTGGGAGGAGGATGTGTGGAGGAAATCTCCAGGCTCCCTCTTTTCCTGAGAATACTGAAGCGACACTTGCCTGTGCAAAGGGAAAATCCCTCGGCTTGGCTCTGAGCTGGTTCTTTATCAGAAAGGCATTATCTGGGTAATTAGCTCTGCCTGTGAGTACAAATGTCTTTGGCTCCCTCGTGCTCAGAGCCCAGAAGGAGAGGTTTGCTGAAGCATCCCTGAGATGCTCCCAGTACAGCAGCCACTTCAGAGGAAGCCTGGTCCTGCCAGCTCACTGTAATTAAAGTGAGGCTTCACAGCCACGTGCCCTACTCTCTGCTCTTGTGATAATTAAGTGGTTCTGGCCTGTTGCATGATGAACTTTGCTGTTTGTCCCTGTTTGAGTTTGTCAGCGCAGTGGGACAGGTCCTCTCCTCTGACCCAGCCCTGCCTGTGCAGTAGCAGATACTGCTGCTCCAAAACTGGTATAAGCATCTCCTGGTAGTTCTTTCCAGCAGTAGTGGTGCTCTGCAGTCAACTCTCCTATGATGCAGTGACCCCCTACTGCCCCTCAAGTGTCCTTCAAGGAGTTTGGGTGACAGCAGTAGCTTCTGTTCCCTCCATTTCTGTCCCCAAAAGCAAGCCTTGTCTTAGCTATTGCTCCTCTCTGTGCCTTCCTCCTCCCTCCAGCTTCCCCTAGGAAGGATTATCCTGATGTGGGCATGGCTGGTGGTGATGGTTCAGTTCCTCAGGCTGAGGCCCCCAAGCTTCCAAACTCAGGAGCTTTCAGCATCAAATTGCATCTTCTATTTTGTCTATTTTTTCTGAAGCTCCTTGCCAGAAGGCAGCAAGGACTCAAGATGGCATTGGAGCAAGAGGAGAGTTCTCCTCCTGGGTTGGCAGTGCTTGAAAGAGAAATGGATGTACCAATTCCTTTGATTTTTCTCATAAATTTTCATTATGGAGAGATAAAATGGGAAGCGTAGGAAGTCCTCCAGGCTTGGTCCTGGCCGTATTTGGAGGTGGTTGTGCACATCTTGGATCCTCTTCCAGCAGACCATGAGTCATTTGGCTGCCTGTATTGGACACAGAGCTGTGCTAAGTCAAAGATAAGCACTTCTGAGTCTGTCTCTCAACACCATCATTTCTAACAGTTGGTTTGAGCTGTCAGGCAGGATTGAAACACTGCACAGTGTCTCTTCTCAATTACACGGGTGCAAATCCAGAGGATTTCACTGGATCAGTACCAAAAATAACAATCCTTTCAGCAAGCCATGAACCTGGGAGCACTGATGGGAGGTGGGGATGTTTGGACATGTGGTGCCATCACTGCCAGCAACAACAGCTTGGGAGGGAGCTCACTGGAATGGGTTTGGTGACCTGTTCTGGTATGTGTGTTAAAAACAGGTAGTGGGCAGAGACCCTGCCTCTGTGGTACTGATGCAAAATTCCTGGGAGTTTGACTGTGTCCTGCAGGATTCCTTGGTTAGTTAGATTGTGTAGGGGTCACTCCAGTGTGAATTACATACTGGATGCTATATTAATAGGAGTAAACCCTTAGGCTAGGGGAAGGAGGGAGAGGGAGGGAGTGACCATCCCAGCTCCTGGAAGCACAGACTGTTTTCCCAAGCAAATTGTACCATGAGCTGGTTTCTCATTAAATATTCATCTGCTGGGCCACTTGGGGGGTTTGAGTGGCCCTCCAAAAGGTTATTAATGCACAGAGCAGATGGAGGTTCAAAGACTGGTTATTAAATTCAGATTGCCTTTTGCCACTATGCTAATGCCAGCTGGATGGCAGGAGGAATTGGCCTGACCCCTTCCCAGGCCTCAGCTGCCTGGGTTCAGTTTCCTTCTCATACCCCCCGACAAGACCAAACATAAGATGAAGCAGCCTTGAAGTGGCTCTGAGCTGGAGCTTGGTTTTAACGTCATCCAAAACAGTGGGACAGCCAGAGGAAGCCACCTCCTCCCCCAAGCTTCTGCCCCAAATGCAGAAATTGGGCTCCTATTTCTTTGTCCATTTGAAAACAAATCAAAATTTTTCATGAGGAAAAATGAATGGAAGGAATGGTTAGCAGTGCTTTCAGGAAAGCCTGGGCCAGTGTCTGTCTGGTGTGGCCACCACTGAGCGGACCCTTCTCTAGGCTGAGGAGCAGCCCTGAGCCAGTCCCTGATGCCCAGCATACTCCACAGCAATCAGCTCTTTGGCTCTTGCTCAGGTTTAACACTGCTTTTTTTCCTTCCTCCAGGCTATGAAATTCCTCTCCAAAAAGAAGCTCTTGAAGCAGTATGGATTTCCACGTGGGTATCTCACATTTAGAGGTCTGCCAGTTGTCCTCACCAAATAAATCTCTCTGTAGAAACATTGTCTGCAAGGAGTGCAGAGCGTGGCCTCCTGTGACAGCTGCCCATGTCAAAATGGAGCTGGTTAAATTGGGGTGGTGAGGGGGCAGATACAGCCACAGGGAAATCAAACACACTCAATAATGAGATGCCTGGCTCTGATTTTTGTGAGTCTCTTTGAAGTGATGACTCTTCCATGTTCACCACTTGTGAAGCCTAATTAAGCACTGGAAGTTAGGTAGGGTGTTCCCCTCCTTTCCTTACCCTGGGTGCAGGCTGGGCCATGGGATGCCCCAGCCCCAGCTGGGAGCAGCTGGTCTCAATGGGACTTGGAGAGCTCAGCTCCAGGTGGGAGACTGCAAAGCTTTGGGATGAGAACAAGGTGATGAGATCTTCCAGAACAGCTGGAGGGGTGTGCACAGGGGCCATGCTGCTCATCCTGTGTGCAGGTGCTGCTGCCAAATGAGGAATTCCTCACTCTGCTGTCCCACTTGCAGGTCGGCCTCCTCCCAGAGGGTCCAAAGCATCCTCTGGAGAGCAGTCCAAGCCCATGGCACCCCTGGACAGAGTCTATCAGGAAATAGCCATCCTAAAGAAGCTGGACCACATCAATATCGTTAAGCTGATAGAGGTGAGCTGCTTCTCCACCCTAAGTTATGCTGAAACAAATCTGGTTTGTATTGCAACAAGAGGATTTTTTTCTTCAACTGTTCCTACTTCAGCCAGAATTGGTTTAATATAGATGTTCTGAAATTGAGGCTGGTGATTCCAAGCAAAGTCTTACTGACTGTGTAGGACAAACTGCACTCTCACCCTGAGCTCTGGGCTGGTGCCCAGGAGAAGGCAGCTCACTGTGCTGGTAGAAATAGCAGTGAGCTTTGATCACTGAAACTTGTGTGCAGACAAGCCTGGGAAGGTGCACAAGTGCAAGGCTCCAGTGCCATTTTCATTATTGACTGAGGTCAGTTTAGGACAAGCAGTGCCTTTATTGGTAGGCTGTTTCTCCAAATACAGGCAGAAGCCCAGATTTTTCTGGAGACAGGAAAATCTGTCCTCCAAAACCCCTCCAAATTCTCTGCAGGACTCTCTAAATATTAACCTAAATTGTTCTCAGTGTTCTGCAGCTCAGCACAGTGTACTGTGAGTGTTACTTGCTTTAAAATCTTTTTTCCTGCTGTTTTTAATTTTTTTTTTCCTCTTTCCCCTTATTTCACTGTGATCTCTCAGGTCCTTGATGATCCTGCAGAGGACAACTTGTACATGGGTATGTGAGTCTCATAAGCTAACAGAACCATCTGGGCTTGGGCCTGGTGATGCAAGTGACACGTGCCAGGACTCGGGGTCAATACGGGAGGAAACTTGTGCCAACTTCTGCAGACTTTTTTTTGTTCTGCCAAGTTAAAACGCCTGTAAATGCAGCTGGGATGGAAAGGCCCCGTGCAGTAGGGTAAGGCAACCTTGTGTCAGTACAGCTGTGCACATCTCTTTGCCATGGTGACACTGAAAAGACCCAGCAGCTGCTCTGTCCCAGCTGATTCCAGCCCCAGAGCCCGGAGGGAAGAGAAGGGTGCAGGATGGTTTCCTTGTCCTCTTGCTGTGAAACTCCTGTAGGCTGTGGATAGAGGTAGTGATTCCAGAGTCACTCCAGGCTTCTCTGGGAGTGTTCCCTGTGACCCCTGCAGAGGCTCTGACCACCCTGGTGAGCCTCAGGACCTCCTAAGGGAGCAGCACTCCCACCTTTGGTGGGGAAGCCATGCCTGACTGGGTGTTTATGCAGAGGGTGAGGTAATTCCACCCATTTTGTCTTCCTCTTCTCCAAACTCTGAAAATGCCAGCCATCCCTAACCCCCATTTGGGTAAAACATTGAGGGGCAGGCCTGGGAGGCCCAAGGTGACCTCTGAGATAGGCTGGAGGAGGGGATGACTGACCCTTTTACATCTCTGCTTCCCCAAACTGTTTCCTGATGAAGCAGGTTCAAAGACTGCTCCTCATGAAATAATTATGGAACACTTCTGAAGCTGCCTGGAGGAGGACTCTGCCCAGCAAATGAAGCAATTTGCCTTTGAAAGGCCACTTTTCCCTTTGGGCTGAAGCCCCGATGGCATCTGGCAGCATCTCAAAGTGATGGCACTCGTGGTGGGGAGGGTGATTGAGGCTGTTGTTTGAAGGACTGAACTCCTGGGAATGGAGGAAAGGGGAGAGATGAGGTAGAAAGCTGCAGAGGGGAAAAATAATCCCAAACCTCAACGAAGCTCTATCTGTGCAGTGAGAGAGCCATCCCAGAAACAGCAGCAACAGCATCAGGACAGCTCTCCTGTCCTATTGGAGGTTGTGCTGATCCCTGAGTGATGAGCAGTGGCCGTGTCCCTGTTGTCCATGTTCCATCACCCCTCTCCTCTGCCCAGGATCCCCTCAAGTTCAGGCACATCAAGCTCCTGCCTCTGCAGTTCCCTTGGCAGGAGGAGTAGCACTGCTCAGGGCTGAACCTCCTGCAAGTGGGTTTGCTCCCTCCTGCTGCTGCCCCAGCTGATGATACCTGCACCTTTCTCCTTCCAAAAATGCCCCCCACTGCAGAGCAGATCTAGAGGAAGAGGTGTTTGCTCCTTGCCTGTGGCTGCTGGGATCAGGCACTGCTGTGAGCCCTTGGCTGTGTCACTGGGATGGGATGTCAGCAGGCACGGAGCCACCTGCAAAGGTTCAGAGCTTGCATTATTAAATGCTTCCACAAGCTGCAGCTTCTGGAGGGCAAGATGAGCCAATTCAGGCTGTCCTGTTGTGTTTGTACCCAGTTCTGTGGGGAGGGGATCTGCTCAGATTTTTTGGGAGGTGCAAGAAATCCCCATGTAATTCATGGGGAAAGAGCTCTCCTACTCTAGGTAAAAGCAGATCCTTCTTCTGTTTGCAGAGCAGGATCAGAAAAAGACTTTTCCCCAACCTCCTAATCAGACACACAAACTCACGTGCTCTGCAAACCTCAACTCACAGTAGCAAATCCTCCTCAGTGGCTCCTGCCAGGGAGTGTTTGGCTCTGACAAAGCTGTAGCTGTGCTGCTGATTGACACAGCAGAAATGGAGCAGCATGTTCTTACAGCATCTCCTTTGCTATCAGCAATTTAGTGGAAATACCACACCAAACACCCTCCCTTGGAGGTACAACAGGCCTCAAATCAAACAGGGCTGACACCCAGAGCAGCAGCACTGTGGGTGATAAATTAGCACCCACTGTGTCCCTGTACAGGGCTGCCAGGAGGGGGGATATTTGTCTGTGCTGAAGAGATGAATATTTTCATTTTGCATCCCCTGGTGTCCTTGTCTTGGGTGAGGGAAGAGAAATGAGTGGAGATAAATTGATTTTGCAGGTATGGGAATGGATGTGTTTTTGTAGGTGATGAATAACAAATAAGCCCAGGCTGCTCTTCTCATTCATTCATGGTTTATTTCCTTTTCTTGCAGTGTTTGACCTCATGAGGAAAGGGTAAGTAGCCCTCCTGGAACCCCTTCTGTTGAAAATTTTGGTGTTCATCATCAGGTTCCCATGTGAAGTAGAGGTTTGATATGTCCAGTGGGGCACACCCTGTCTGCAGGGCAGGAAGACCCCAGCTTTGCACTGCTACAGCCTGGAATGATGTGGTGAATAGAAATGGGCTGGGAGGACATGTCCTGGTGCCAGACTCTGATCTGGAAAACAAATTCTATGACAATTCCTCATCAGGTGCCTGGAAGAAAAGGTTTGCATAGGAACATTCTGCTGGGTTCCAGCCACACTGTGGCTCCTCTGACACAAGGGCTCTGTGGCACCAAGATTTACTTCGACCTGCTGCCTTACTTTGCCCTCAGCACTAACCTCTGATGGGAGGCTGTGCTGTTGGCAGATTTATTTTGCATAGTGAAAGAAGGGATAAGGTGGTAAGAGGTTCCTCTCTGCTCTTTGCTACACCCGCACTGACTCTGCAGCTCTGCAGTGAGGTCATGATTTCTGTGCCCAGGATGGAGGAGATTCCCAGAGAGGTTATTTTCTCTCTGGTCCATGAACGAGCTGCCAGCTCCAGTGGGTTGCTGGCAAGAGGCTCCCCAGTCTCCCTGGTGATCAGGCTGGTGCCTGACCTGTGGGAGAGGGAGCTCCTGTAAACAGCTGAGGCTGGGGAACCTGTGGTTCATCCAAGTGCAGCCTGGCTGCCTCTGGCAGGAGGCAATTAGACTCCATTAGTGGCTCTGCCAGCCCTGATCTCACATTTCTCCATGGTTTCAGCAACTGAAAAATGTGCATAAAAGAGGGAGGGAAGGTCATCAGTCAAATGGGCAGCCAGGGAGAGAGGGAAGGATTTGCTCCTGGTGCTGAGGGGAGCAGCCACAGAGCCTGGTTTTGGCAATGGGCAGTTCTCTGGCAGGGTTTGGCTTGCCAGGATGGTGTCCCAGGAGCACTGAGTCAAATCCAGCTCCAGTCAGTGGATGTATGTGCACATGCAAAGCCAAGGTGCTGAGCACAGGCAGGTCCTTAGCTCCAGCCATTCATCCACAGGGGAACAGCAGATTCTGACTGGCTCTTAGAGCCTCTTTGCCCTAGCTTTCAGCAGGCACAGGCAGAAGAGGGGCTTGTAGAGGAGACTGTGCTTCCCTCAGCAGTGGCAGCATTCAAAGGAAAGGAGAGAAGAAGCTGACCAGGTAACCTTGGCTGTTCAGGGCTGAATGGCTGAGCTCTGGTAGTGGCTGAACCCTGAGCAGCTAAACAGGCTTTTAAAGCAGTTTAGCACAGTGCACAGAAAATATTCCCATTTAACCTTTGAGCCACTGGTTCCTGTGTAGATTCTGCCTCAATGGAGACACAGTGATGTTGTGTCAGGACTGAGCCCTAGCAGGCAGGACATGCAGTGCACAGCCACAGGCACTGTCCCCACTGCTGACTGGGATCTCATGGCAATGCTGGTGCTCACAGCCATGGGCAGCTTCAGCAGGAAGCCAAAGGCCAGGTCCAGCTTTGTTCTTCTCCCACTGGGACTGTCAGTGAGTAGTGTTTGTCTTATTTTGTGCAGACACCAGCAGTTAATCCTGATGATGATGAGGGCTCTGTGGCTCATGCTGGCTCAGGGCTGTGCAAAGCCACCCATCACTGGCCAAGCTCAGTAACCAAAGCATCACCACCTCCAGAAGGAACAGGCACACCTCCATTCTGTGTCACAGCACCTTTTGGGAGCCTGGCCCTCAGTGCTGGGACGTGGTGATGGATTACAAACTCCCCCAGCAAGGGGTGTTAGTGGCCTTGTGCAGAGCACTGAGTGGCTGTCCCTGTCCCCAACAGGCCTGTCATGGAGGTGCCCAGTGAGCAGCCCTTCAGCGAGGAGCAGGCTCGGCTCTACTTCCGAGACATCGTCCTGGGCATCGAGTACTGTGAGTACCCCGGCCCTGGCAGTGCCTGCAGGGGCTCTGCCTCAGCCCCTGGGGGGAAAGGGATTTATAGAAAATTCCCAAAGTCCGGCAGAAGGCCCCCACACTGTGCATCTGTATGCAAACCTTGAGATAAGAAATGCTGACTTAGAGATGGCATGGAATGGGACAGACATTGCTGAAACAGAAATGGAGCTAGAAACAAGTTTCAAAGGATGGCCTTGCAAAAAAGACCAGGTACTTTAGAGAAATAGAACTATGAAAGATGCATTGTAGTAGGACCCATAGGGGTAATTTTAGATTACATCTACAGCATGGTGTGGCTAAAGCTGATAGACCAAGAAGCACTTACAGTGTATTTTAATTACGAAATAGTTAGCTTCTGATTGTAATAGCGTTAATTATAACATCTGTATTGTCTCACCCTTCACATGAGACTGAAAATGGAATAAAAGTTTCTAAAATGCTTCTCAGTTGCCCCATCTCTGGGCCAGAAAAGGGTATTGTCCAACACCCCTGCTCAGCTGGGGAGGGGAGTCCTGGCCCTGGGGGGCTGTTGGATGAGCCAGAGAGGTCCCCTCACATTGCCTGTGATGGGGTTGCTGTTGGAGCTGGCCCCACTCAGCTTGGGTTTACCCAGGAAGTGTCACAGAACAGAACCCTTAGAAAGGACATAGAGCAAATAGTGCCTCTCTTTGTTCTTCCATTTATTTCTTTTTGGAGACTGTCTTTGAAGGCAGAGCCAGAAAATGGGTGTTTGCAGTGTCATGGATTCAGCCAGTCAGGTTCAGCTGGTACAAATCCCTGTCTCTGGCTTAGCAGGACAAGCACTGGCCATGGCAGAGCTGGTGAACAGCATGGGGAGGATGTCTGTCCTTGTCCATCCCTGTGCAGAGCCCATCTCAGTGACTCCTGTCTGTCTGTCCTTGTCCATCCCTGTGCAGAGCCCATCTCAGTGACTCCCTGTCACTCAGGGCTGTGGGGTGGTGAGAACCCAGCACTGTGTGCCCTCCCCGTGAGGAGGTGGATCCAGTGTGTTCCCAGCTCTGCCCAGACTCCAGAGCAGGGTTCCTCTCGGTGGCCTGTTTGATTATTGTCACCTTTCTTGGTGACATCTTGTCCCCATGTGGCTGAGGCCAGATTCCCTGCTCAGTGCCTGTGTTGCAGAGTGCAGGGAGGCCACGAGAGCTCTGTGAATTACAGCAGGGGTTTTTCTGGCCCCATTGTCACTGACATGTCCCTGCTGGCACAAACCTGGCAGGGCTGAGCAAAGAGGGGTCCCTGAATTAAAGACACAAGGAGGAATGGACTGTGTGCTGGCATCCTGGAAGCAGTTAGTGCTTCTGTGCCTCAACTGCTGGTGAGCTGAGCTTGGCTCTGGGCCTGTTGGATCCTGGTGTCCTCCCTGCAAACAGCCTCTGTGAGTTCAGTGCTCTCAGCTCTGGCTGCTTCCTCTGCACACTGATACCCTAAATAATTGCCCCTGGTGAATCTGGGGAGGAGGAGGCAGTACAGCTTTTGCAGAGGACATTCCCACCTTGCAGGTCTGATTGTTTTCCAGAGGAGACAGCAAATATGTAGATAAGGTGATGCTGTTATTGCCTCGTGTTTCAATTGCCAAACAGCTTTTGATTAGATCCATTAACAGTAGCTCATAAAGCAGCTCCTAAATCTCTTATGTTGGATGGGCTCTTGTGGATTAATAACTGGACAATCAAGAAAGTTGGAATACAGCTTTCACAACTGAGAAAAGTCACCAGTACAGTTAAACAGGAACCCATAATGTGACTGGGTTGTTCAGTGTATTCCTGAATGACCAGAAAAAAGGTAGAGAACAATAAGAGATTGGTGATGGCACTGAGTTTTTCAGGATAGTTGTTAGAACTGACTGGGAAGACTGGCAGGAAAATGCCATGATAGCAAGTGATGGCATGATAAAATGACAGTAAAAATTCATGTTTCTGACTGCAGGGTAATGCATGAGGGGGAGAAACAACACTGAGAATACATACAATGGGATGAGCTCTAAATTATCTGTTCTCACTCAGGCTTTGTTCTGGATACTTCTCTTGAAAATGCCAGCCCATTACTTAGTGACATTCAACAAGGCTAACAAGATTTGGGGAATTATTTGGAATGAAAGAAAGAAGAAAGTAGAAAATGTTATTGTGCAGTTATTTGGATCTCTAAGAGCTCTTAGGTACAGACAAGGAGTATCCTGAATATTATGTGCAACTTGGCTCAGCCTGTCTTAAAAACAGAACTCCCTAGAACTGCAAGGAGGATGATCAGGATGCTCCTGGAATATCTTAGGTACAGAGGTATGACCAAAGCTCTTAAGACTGGAAAATTACCTTGGAAGGGATGCAGTGGCAGAGGCTTATAAAATTCTTAAGTGTCAGGGAATTGCTGGACGGGAAGTGAATATTTTCTGTCTCTGAAAACACAATACCTAATGGATAGCAAACAAAATAATCAGGTAACCAGTTTAAACCAGAAGGAATTACTCACTCTCAACCACTGAGAGAGAACAAGTCTCTGAGCATGATGGGCCTTGCTGAGGCAGAGGAACATGGTTTGAGGGTCTCAGTCCCTCTCCACATTGAAATGCAGCACCACCTAATTTTCTGTCTAAAACCAGCAGGGAATAAAATCACTGTTTGTAAGTCTGACAGTCCAAAAGCTTCCAGGTGCTGCCAAAATTAGTCAGGTCACCCCAGAAAGTTGCTAGAAGTTAATATATGAATGAGAATCTCAAGAATGTCTTTGAGTAGAGTTTGAAGGATGAAGATGCAGCTTTTTACATTCCCATTAGCATTCAGATTGCAGCAGAGCCTGTGTGCCTCAGCTGGGAGATTCAAGCTCTGCTGTGCTGGATGCTGCTGCAGGAACAGTTCCTGCTCAGAGGAAACTTTGAGTTTAGTACACAGGAAAAAAAAAAACCAACAGCAATGTGTGGGTAGTCTTAAGCACAGAGAGAGTGAAATTCAACAATAAATTATAGGATGCCCAAGCACTCCCAGCAACAGGAACAATAGGATGGTTTGTTTTGGACCATTGAGTTACCACTTATTTTATTAGCAAATGAAAGTTAAAAATGGTGTTCTCTCTGAACTGCTGGGTAAATGCATGGCAATTATTATATAATTAAGAGGAAAAGTGCACTGTTTGTGCATGCTGAAGGAAAAGTGTTGCCAGGCAATCCAGAGATTGCAAGGTAATTTTAATGTAAGCATCCATAATTGTTGTGCAATTTGGGAGGCTCAATAACCATGCAGCTGCTTGAAGCTCACAGTCATCACAACAGCAAATGCATCATTGTTGGCTGGATTTTATCAGGCTAGAAGTTGCAGCCTGGATTCCTGTTGGAGCCTGAGAGGTGCTAATGGTGAGCAGGAAGGGGAGCCAAACTGGTGGGAGATGTGGGCTGACCTTTTAACTCACTGGTGGTGGCATGTGGTGTGACCACTGTGTGTCTCTGGGGACTGGGCTCACTGGTTCTTCATGGAGTTTGCCTGGGGTGGAGCCTCCTGCAAGAGGGCTGGCTGTGGGGGGAGGTTTGGAGGGAGGCAGTGGTCCAGGTGATGAGAGCTGGGTGGGAAGCCTGGCTTAGGCATGGTGGGAGGCTGGGACAGAGCCCTGGAGAGAGCCAGGAGCTCCCTGATCCAGGCAATGGCACAGAGCTGTCAGCTGCTTTAGGCTGGGCTGAGTGTGTTCAGTACCAGGAGTGCACTTTGACACAAGCACAGTCCCAGCCTTGTTCAAGGTCTGAGAGTCAGGGAGATCTGCCCGTGGCTGAGATTCCCTTCCTCTGGTCCTTGCAGGGCTGGGAATACATTTGGAGTTTAGGCATGGTGGTATCACTGATTGATGTGCTCTGGTTTAGTTCTCCTGTCCCAGCCTGGCCCAGGGTGTGTGGAGTGTCAGGAGCTGCTCAGGCACCACAAACTGTCCCTGGGCTCCTGGGGAAATGGGCTCTTCACAGGAAAGTGGCTCTGCTCCCATTTTCAAGACTTCCCCACTGCTGCTGGCCCTGGTCACCCCCCCAGGAGCTGGGGGGGCAGTCTGGTCTCTGTGTGAGTACCAGCAGAGTGGTAATTCCAGAGGGTGCTCAAGTGGCAGGACCCACAGCACAGCCTCTGCCAGGAGCACAGTGCTCAGCTGAAATGGAGCACAGGGGGAAGCTGAGCTCTTCCAAAGGGCTGGGCAGTGCTGAGGGTGCAAAACTTTGGGCTGAAGCAATTTATCCAAGTGGCAGAGGCTTAATGGGTGCAGCAAGAGAGCAGCAAAACAGTGGAGGGAGGTGACAACACCACTTTGGATGGGAAAGTTTGCTGGATTATTTGTGTCATTAACTGAAGCATGTGCTTAAGCATCTCTGTCAATTAGGGATATGTGCAATTGCCACCCTTTCCACTTGTAGTAGTGCTTGGCTGGGGTTATTTAAACTTCAAACTCCCTTCTAATAAGGCAAACTTTGCTTTCATAGAGATACTCAGCAGAAATGTGTGTGCTGCATAGGAAATGGTCATCATGCTTCATCAGCAGGCATGAGGGATATGCCAGGTAGGTATCCCTGTTTGATTTTAGGGCTGGGACATGAGAATCTTCATTTAGTAAGAATCCTCATTAAGGAGTTTCATTCCTTCCTGAGTAAGGAGTAAGAATAAGCAGACAAAAGGGCTGTCTAGGCAGGAGCCTGTCAGTGACACTGGCCAGGAGCAGACAGTGCAGAGCACACACAAGTGTGGCCCAGGGGAAAACCTGCTGACTTGCACAGTGCAGATGAAGCACAGTGACTGTCCCTGCTGCTCTGGAGCTGCCAGCTCAGTATTCCAGTCACGAGGAGCTGAAACAGTTTCTGTCAGCCTGGCTGAAGAAGAAAAAAACCTTATTTCCTGCATTTCCTGTAAAAACCTGCTGTTCTCCTCCTGTGACTGTGTTTAAGGGGGGGCAGTTCTGGTGTCTCCTCTGAGCTGTGGGGTTGAAGGGAGGGTAATGAC